TATAATTATATAGTGTGTGCCTGTTCTTAAAGATTTTGTTGCCCAGCCTTCGAACTTCACACTGCCTTAGCATTCGATAGGGTCTTCCTACTAGACAATGCGGTTCCTATTAGATCGGGCTTACCCAGTAGACACTGGTCTTCCTGTCGGATGGGGCTTGCCGACTAGGTTTCGCCTTCCTCTTGACGGAATGGCTTAGGGAGTTCTCTGTTCAAATGGATGGGCGTGGCTTGGCCGCGACTCCATGTCATTAAACCTCAGAGCCCTTTGAAACTCTTAAAGACACACACACACACACACACACACTTTTGTACATGAATAACGGAATGAAACTGTGTTTGTGTGTGTTCACGCCTTCAGTTGCGCTGGACTTCGGGCTGGTTCAACTGGAAGCTATCCGGCAATCCAAGTCCCAACCCCATATACTCAACTATAACCAAAGCTTACAGCCAGAACACAAAGGTGCATGCGGCAAAACCCTGAAGCCAAAGGCACAATCTCCGAGCCTCAAATCCCAAAGCTACGTCCTGACACCCCAAACTGTACGTGGTACACAGCACAGCTATGTTGCAAAGCTCGACAGTCTACCTCAAATATTCCCTGTCAAGCATACCGGCTTATCACCCCGAAAACTTGTTGTGTCGATCTTCAGGCTGAAAACAGCATTGCCAATCATATCGCAAGATGCAGTCTAGAATGCTGGGCACGGAAACAACCTAATCTGGGTTCTGAAATCTCGTCGCATTCCTACAACCAATAACGCTGAGATATGGGTCCAGAACTACACAGGCCCAACCGCTGGGACATATAGATCCACGAACATACACTAATGAATGCCAGGCCCGAAACAGCTTGGACAACAGAGCTCTGTTTGGAGAACTAGACCGCCCTATGCCACGAACCGTCGGCCACTGGACAAGGCTTCGTTAGGCGGGGGCTGTTTCCCAATCGGTTTCGTTTGTAATCCTGATTTTGATGGCAATATCTAGGTCAGCCCTCAAGTTAAGGTAGGCCTTCACAGCAGCGGCAATTCGCTTCGCGCGCTCTGCCGCAACATCCTGGCTTCAAGAGTTCTTATCAGGAGCTGGGCCTTACGTAATTTTATTGCCGGCCGTCAGCCTTAACAACTCCAAATACCTACGCCCGTACAGGGGTAGGACTTGCAGAGATCGGGGAGATTTTCGTGTGTTTAAGGGTTTAAGGAGCTTGCTGAGTTTATTGGGAAGATTTTCGTTTAGTAGGCGACGGTGCCGGGCTGTTGCCTGATGCTCCAGATCCAAGATACCTGTGGGCTACTTACATGCACTGTCCGATCCTCACCAAGCTAGTTTACTTCCATGGCCAACCACGTTGCAGAGTCTATTCCGGGATTCCGGGTGCAGATCGGAAACCCGGCCAAAACCACAAAACGATACTCATCGGATCTGAGGAGTCTCGACTGTCACCACGGAGTTGTTGTTTGATCTTCTCGCAAGCCCGGACTTGAATGCCCAAGGCCCATTGCAGGCCAGTGTGTTAGGTTGGGCCCTGGCGCCTCTGCATAGACCATGACTCTGTCCATGGATGCTTCGGGCGCAGGAGGCACCTTCCCCAAGGATTCCCAGAAGGGCTTCCGGTCTGAGAGTCTAAGACTTCAGGGCGTGCAGGCTGGAGATCAAGACTCCAGGAAGTACTTGAGCTTTCACCTCAAGGGCGCGACATACCTGTTTCGGCTCTCGGGGATTCAGGCTTACATCAGTGCAATGCTTAAAGTTTGCATCCTTGAATCGAACTCTAAGCAGCCAGGGACTCAACCCTCCGAAAAGTTAGGTAATTTCTGTATATGGTTTGAGATTGCGATCGCCAGGCCCACGCGCGTACTGAATAGATGCCTGCAGCCATGAGGTCTGGACCCAGACTCGCTTCCAGAATCGTATGAACTGCCACCTGCATCCGCTCAAACCTCCGCTTTATTGGTGCTTAGAGCTTCTGAAACCCCTTCTCAAGGCCCCATACAGCCCGACTAACTCCAGACCCCTTCGTAGACTCGAAAACCGAAATCTTCATACCGACGCCCAGGGACATAGAGCTCCGCACCACAAACCTTCATAAGTCTGACATGTTTGCAAGGTCATACCTACCCTTGCAATCAAGCCTTATGAGCAAGCAACCCTTAACCTGACATGTAGCCCCGAACCCTAAACCATACACCCAGAAATCCTAATGCCTCGAGCATGAAAGCCTATTGACTTGAGCCCTGAACCCAAAGCCGCCTTGCGCTAAAAAGCCTCTATAAGCCCCACGCCTAGAGCCGAAATCCTCAGCCTTCCAGTCCCCCTGAACCGCAGAGGAGGCCCCCCGTACTTGTGTGTCCTGAAGCCCTACAACCCTTAGCCTCACACCCAAGACTCCACTCCCTGCCGCCTTGACCTCCTCACAGCTTGCACCAGCGAAGCCCGGCTTGCAGACACAGAGGCCGGAAACGCAAGAGCCCCGCGGCTCTACACCTTGAACGCAATGGGTTTATTTCTTTGCCGAAGCCTTAGAAGGTCTAGGGGTTCAGGGCGTGGGGGTGCTTAGGGAATTTAGGGTCCTGGGACGCAGAAGCTCCCCGATATTAGCGCGGCTGTCAGCTCGAAACCCGGCCCCAAACCCAGCCCCAAAGCCCGCACCCTAACTTCCCCAAACCCTGAACCAGTCAAACTGTGTTTCTTGGCTGCAATCTGCACTGAATTCGAGTTTTATCTGATAGAGTGCGACGTTGCAAGACATCCGTTCGAACGAAGCTCCGGGCGTTGGAACGTGCTCGACCTCAAATACCCCAACCCTCACACTGTACAGCCCTCTTCCCAAAGCAGTCCTCCGACATTAAGCTTACACTGAGGACACATCATCGAGCTAAATATATTACAGTTGCAGTGAACTGCAGTGAACCATTTCCTGCATGGCCCCGCTCATCGCACTTACAGCCGCGACGGTTGTCAGACAAAGGCGGCACGCCCATGTGGAAATGCCGGCTCCGAATGCCAGCATCGCATGATGCTAGGCTCTCATCTCTGATCCTAAAGTCTTCATCCCGTGTCTCACGCACCCTCCGCCTCTGCCGAGGCATCTCGCTTCATGCCCAATCTTGACCGTGAAATCCTCCAGCCTAACCGCCTAGCAAGCCCAGCAAGCCTAGCAAGAGTGGATCAAGTCTGGGCCAAGGCCGGGGCATTGCTTGGAGCACTGCGGCTCGTCGCCGCGAAAGAGATGTAAGAGTCGACTTACCTGGGCAGCCGAAGCCCCCGTACCCAAACCTAAGCCTAAACCCTGACATTGAGCTCAAACGGGCCTAAAGATTTCGAGGATGTCTTCTGTATTGACTGACGCAATTGGCTTCGGCTTTGGGATGAAACGGTGGACGGTACATAAGGATTCAACGAAGCATTAGTGCCAGACTTCTCCGGCCTAAACCGCCAAGTCCGAAAGCCCAACTGCTGAAGCCACGTGGCCCGCGTGGCTTCAGCATTTGCAACACTTTACAGCTTCTCTGAAACCGACAGTACGAGGTTCCTGCAGCGTGAGTTCCCCTCCCACCGATACATATCCTGTGGGCCCAGGTTCCGAAACATCCAATCCGAAGCCCGGCATCTAGAATCAAAATAGGAATCTAAAGAAGCACCCCCCCCCCCCCACACACACCCACCCACCCACCCACCCACCCACCCACCCACCCACCCAC